CTGGATGAGCTGCAGGTGGGAGGGGCGGGGCCTCCGGGAATCACGGGGCGGGGCCAAAGGTGTGGGTCAGGTGCTGGCGATTCAAACATGGCGCCTGCCTGCTGGTGTGTGAGGAGAGGACTCGCTACAGGAGCCATGGCCTCCGCCAGCCCTTCTGCCTGGGAGGAAGCCGCCCTCCGCCTCTCGCCCGGATCTCAGGCAGGTTAGTTCCTCCCCGAGTGTCCCGGGTCCTTTCAGGCTGCTGCCTGGCGCTGGGCTCAGAGGGAGCGTCCGAGTGAGCCCCTGCGCCGCCCTTTGAGAGGAAAGCCGGGGACTCCCGCAGTCTCTGCGACCCTTAGCGACAGTCCCTGCTGGTTTCACAACCCGGAGTTGTGGGGATGTCTCTTCCCAGCCCTGGAGCCCTGGGTAGGGGCCTGCTGTGGGGCTGGGACCCCTCCCTCCTCCGGGAAACCCCCACCGCCGAGATTCCCTCCTGAGTTTAACCCCCAGCACCGGGTGTGGGCCCGCGGCCCAGTCTCCGGGATTCAGCCCGGATCTACCCGCGTCTCTGCCCCTCCTACCGCTCTCGATGCTCCTTTAGCTCCCTGGCTGTGGGGCTTCTGTTCAGCCAGATTTCAGGAGGCTCTGANAGTGTGGGCCCGCGGCCCAGTCTCCGGGATTCAGCCCGGATCCACCCGCGTCTCCGCCCCTCCTACCGCTCTCGATGCTCCTTCAGCTCCCTGGCTGTGGGGCTTCTGTTCAGCCAGATTTCAGGAGGCTCTGAGGGATGGTGGTTCTGTATTTTAGTTGTAATTTTGATGTGGTTGCGGGAGGCGGTGGGTACAGCTGTTACCTACGCCGCCTTCTTGTTTCTCTCTATGACTGTGTCCTTATGAAAGGGGGACATTTGGACACAGAGATAGACATGTACAGAGGAAGGCAATGTGAGGAGACACAGGGAGAAGATGGCCAAGGAGAAAGGCCTAGAACAGATGCTTCCCTCACAGCCCTAAGAAGTAAGCAACCCTGCTGACACCTTGTTCTCAGACTTCTGGCCTCCAGAACTGTGAGACAATACATTTTTGTTGTTTAAACCACCCAGTTTGTGATACTTTGTTATAGCAGCCCTAGAAAACTGATACAAATGCTTTCCTGTGGTGGCATACATACCATTATAATTATAATAAATAGTATTACGTGTACTTCTTCTATGAATTGATGTTATCACAATTTATTTAGCTTGTTCCCTAATCATAGGCATTTAGAATGTTTGTAATTCTTCAATATGATGGCCAACACAGAAATAAATTACTTCTTTAGGATAAATTCTCAGGAGTGCAATACCTGGGGTCCAAGAATATGGATCTTTTTGTGTTTAGATGTGTCTCACCACTTTGTTGTTGTTTTTTTAAATATATCTTTATTGATTTCAGAGAGAGGAAGGGAGAAAGAGAGAGAGAAACATCAGTGATGAGAGAGAGTCACTGATCAGCTGCCTCCTGCACGCCCCCTGCTGGGGGATCCAGCCTGCAACCCGGGCATGTGCCCTGACCGAGAATCGAACCTCGATCTCCTGGATCCTAGGTTGATGCTCAACTGCTGAGCCATGCCTGGCCAGGTGCCACTTTGTTTTCTCAAAGGGCCATGCTGGTGGTCCATGTCTGAAACGTAGCCCTGGCAAATCAAAGTCCTGTTAGTTACTTGTCTCTATTCCAGGCCTCTCCAGGGCTTTATGCATTTCGAAGTGCCCAGCGAAGAAGTCACAAAGTGCCAGTGAAAACTAGCGGTTCTATAAATCTTAGGATGTCAGTGATGACACATGTACAATAATAAAACACAGGTTCCTCTGTCCTTTTCATCTCAGTAAAGGCCTAGCATGTTGCCTGGAAAGGTGACTCAGAGAGAACCTGCTGTCACCCCTTGGATTGGCACCTGCATCAGTGGCACCTGCACCATGTGGCTATCCTCACACTAGTGTCAGCAGTATGCCCTGTCCTGTTCTCAGCTCCATGTTGACCAGTGCCCAGCTGTGGGGTTATTCCCAAGTCGGGTTTCATAATGTCCCAGGGAGGGTGGTTGAGTATAGGAGGTGGCCTTTGACCAGAGAGGGTGGAGCTCTGACTCGAACAGCCAGCTTCCAGTAAACTCTAAACATGGATGAAGCATGCTGCTCACTACTCCAAGCCTCTCTATTCCGCATGGTTTCCCATTTTGGGACACATGTTGCCCTCAGCAGGCCGCAGTCTCTCCTTCCATATCACCTACCCCTAAAATCTGCTCAAAGTCAACTTTTACACAGAGGGACAAATGATCTGTGCCTAATAACATTCCCATTCCCCACAGTGGAACCTCAATGGGAGCTGTTGTTTTACTGTTTAAGACAGTGCCTGGCATGTAGTAAGTGCTCAATAAACATGTGTCGAATAGAGGAATAAACTTCTTCATCTTTCAAGATTATTGTTATTATTTTGGACTGTGAGCATTGCTTACTTATAGTAGA